TGTGAATCCTCTTTAAACTTTTGCGTGTATGAAACAGCCAAATGTGAATATACAGTGACAATAGAACCGCATATCGGTCACTGAGGCAGTCTCAAACGATTGAAAAGTACCAAGAAACTCTGCTCAGGGCCAATATATACAAATCCAAGATCCGCACCGTTCGTATATGGTTCCATTCCCTGTTCAGAAAAACCACAACAATTAGCACACAAATGATGGTTGGATCATTTAGAGTTTATATATATATATTACCTTTCCATTGAGTTTCAAAAGCTTGCCCTCGACCCATTTCGGGTTTTTAAACCCAAAGTCTGCAATTCTTCCTTGTCCTCCGTAAGTTGCAAGCTGCATATATGCAAAACATCTTCAGGATAAGCTTTTCATGAAATATCTAAGCTATTATTGTGTCAATAGCAAATTACAGAGCGCTTCAACTCTTATCCTCGCTATGCTTTAGCTTTATAAGCATGGTCCTGAATCTTTTCTTATATCGATTTACATGCCTGAGCATGCGTTTGTTTTGGGTCGGTTTTCCATATCCTAAAGCTCAGGAGATGAGGAAAGTATCATTACCACTCCCAATTCCTCTGTGAATATTGTACCACTGCGCCAGGTACTCCGCTTCCCAATCTTTGCCCGAAATGTCACCTGTGCATCGATGAATTTGTGTCCCTATCTTAAATTCGCTATCTCATACAAAAATGTGTCATTACTCAAAAATATAAACATTAAAAAGATAAATAACCTGGCCAGCCGGTACATTTGGATCCCCTGTCAACTTCACAGCCTCAACATATTCATAGTACTCCATATCTGAGGAGTCACTTTCCTCTCCATTGTCCCATCGACCATACTTACGCTTAAGTTGCACTATCTCGGTGCCATAAGGTCCAAACGCCCCAACATATAAGCCTGCACTTGAAATTTCAGAACACATCCCAAGTTGAGTTGTACGAATACATTTGAAGTCGATACTAAAAGAAAAAAGAATAACACTAATGTAAAACAGGCTTACCATCAAAAGGGTCTAAGTTGCTATCAGGAGATATGATTCTATTAAATGTTGTATATTCAGAGAGCCGATTTGCTTTTTGCGCCTGACTAATAGCAAGCTTGACAATTTCACGCACCTTTCTTGATACCTAGAACAACAATTGAACAATATTTATGTCTAAGGAGTCATGAAACAGCAAATGGTAGAACCTTCCAATATGTATCTAAAAACTCAAGAAAAAAAATCCATTCATGCCAAGCAAATATATGCATGACACTCAAATGCTACTTATGTCAAAAGGCTGCTAAAAACATTTTCGCTACATCACAAAGAGGTTTTAAATAATAACAAACTCCTTAATCTGATTGTAGAGTTAAAGCCTAGTAAAGAGCGGTGTAAATTCAAGCAAAATTTACCTTCAAAGCTTTCTCTGGACCCCAGAACGCTTTGGCAACCTCTGGTGGCATCAGCTCTGATATTCCTTGAGCTGGTAGAGCTGTTACTTGTTCTTTGGACACTGTATTTTTTATTGAATCATTACCATCCTCACTTCTCTTAGGAACATGCAAGATAAAGGAATCTCTTTCATTATCAATTATATCGGCCGAAACACGGACAAGCTCATCCTTTATAGAGGAATCCTCTGTGTTATGGAGAACCCCTCCGATGAAAAGCTTGTTCAAATATTTTCCAATATCATCGCTATCCATAGATGAAATTTCTTCGTTACTGTCACCTTCTTCTTCATCAGCAGAATTAGTTTCCTCAATGCCTTCTTCGACAAGCTCTCCCATAGCATCATCACTGCCTACAACCTCTTCCTTGGGGATACTAACATCCTCTTTTGCTCTCACTTTTATGCCTGGGATTTTATCTTTCAGATATTTTATCACATTTTTAATCCCTTCTTCAGTTGATTTCTTGCCAATTAGTGGCTTATCTTCTTTTTTATCCACCTTCACTTCACCTCCTCCTACATCAAGAATGGATGGGTCCTTAATCGAGGCATTTGATGATTGCTGTGCTCTTAAATAGGATTTCTCGGAAATGGGCGGGGTTGGCTCGACACGTTGCAAATACACCACCTGAACAGATACAAGATATGTATAGAATAGTGTTACTCGGTGCTTTGTAAGAAGAAAGCGGACAATATATCTGTATATCTATTTTACAAACTTCAGAGAAGAAAAAGAACATTAGGGGTGATTAGAATAGCAATTATCTGATACTGTCACCAGAACCGCTAAATCTTAAATGTCCAAATGTGTGGTTTGCTTAAATTACCTGCATAACATATTCTCCGTCAGAGTCTTTAGCAACAAAGATCTCAAACAGAGGCGTTCCAGCGGCTGCAGTCATCAGCTGTCTGTATGAAGCAGTTATGAGATTCAATTACCACCAGCATTCGAAGAAAAAAAAAAGATTATATAATCCTCAACAGAAACTGCACTGACCTTGGACTGTAACTCTTGCCAATAAACCTACCAAAACCTTGCGTTATGCGTACAATTCTGCCAAATGGTTCCTCCGAATCTTCAGAACAACCAAACCACCAACCCACCTATACATAGACATCAGAAACACGATAACGATTTGAAATTACAAAACCAATCCAAGTCCAAATAAAAAAGCATAGATTCTTAGCTACAGATTTGAGCAATAATACGGAAGCAGTTCTTGACCAGGTAAAAACCATCACTTCATGTCAGTAAAACGTATATTCATTCCTTCAACTACCTATCATAGTTTACATACATGGGATCATTTTTCGCAACACGTTTAAAGCCTTGTTAGTTCTTGATTTATCCGTGCAGGTATCATCTAGGACAATCATACAAGCGTAGAAGCACTTATTACATTCGCATTAACATGTTTAAGAATGTAAATAAAGTTACCAGTCCACTTCCTGTCTCGCTACATAACCTGGAAGCATCACTGTAACGCTCTTCGCGTATTGCAGCCTGCAAGCAGACATCATAAGTAAGAAAACTAACATAAGAGCTTGATGTTAACCAAATCCTT